GGGCAGCTTGGCCTCCCGCAGCTGCTGCGTGGGGGTGGCCGCTGGCCGTTGGCGACGAGTCCAGTCGTAACCAAGAGTTTCTGGGACGTCGGAAGCCCCGATTTGCCTCTTCGTAAACTTGGCCCCTGGACCCTGGGAAGCTCCTTTCTAAACACCTCGCAGGATAAAGCACTGAGAGCTGAGAGAAGAGGTTCTTAGAGTGTCTGGGCGTCATGGGAAACGTCGGCCGTGGAAGCAGCCTCAGAGACAAGTCTCTGAGCCGGTTTGAGGGCTGGCACAGGATAAAGGGTGGAGGAGTTTGTGGGAAAAGACAATGACAATGAGCAACGGACGTGTCTGGCAGTGCTGGGAGAGGGGCAAGGGACACCTTAATTAACCCAGCTCCAGACTTCATTTGGGGCTTGAGGCCCAAAGTGAACCAGGATGAGTACCAGGAACATTAATCACTTCTGAAAATTAATCTTTGCCTCTGTGCTCCCATTTGTAAAATGGCAGCAGAGACAGTGACCTTTGTCAAGGGCTTGGGTGAACAATGAACCGTTGGATCAATATGTATACGAGTGTAACATGTCAATGGCCACACACAGATGCCCTGCTCTCTCCCGGTAGAGAGGAGACGCCGGGGCAGTGTGGCTCTCTGCTGTTGAGGACATCAGCTGCTGCCTCCTGGACGGCTTTACCTGAGGAGGCGTGCCACATCCCTTCCCCCTGCATTGACGGCCCTTTGCCATTTCAGTGCACCAGGCACTGATTTGGACTTGGGTGACTCCAGCCCTATGTGCTGGGACTATGGAGCCAGCAGACAGAGGATCCCATGTTGGCTTCTGGGCTGGGGGGGATCAAGCGGGGCTGCTGCAAGACCCCATGCCCGCAGGTTTGCAGCACAGTACGCTGCCCATTGCAAACCCCTACTGGCACTGCCCACCACGTGCCGATGTGCCGACAGCCCCGCAGGCTGTGGCGAATGAAGCCGTCGAGGCCGCGGGGTGTGCCCACACCCACTGAGGTGCCTGCCCTGCGATCCCTTCAATCTGGCGCACACCAGACCCCTCTTCTGGCTCGCCCAGCCCCTGGAGCGGTTGGCCAGGTGGGATCACGCCAGGCTGGAAAGGCCTGTCTGCTCCTCCAGGCTGGCAGCGGGTGGGGTGACAACACCCCGCCCAGCAGGATCTGCTCCTGCCCTTCGGCAGCCAAGGGCCAAACCGTCCATGGCAGAATGAGTGCTTGCCCACTGCAAGGGCGTGGGCATAGTGTCAGAGGATGGGGGAGCTGCCCCTTGCTCACGGGATGAACAGCTACAGAAGTGACATACTTTGCTGCTGGGAAGCTCAGTTTTGCACTGTCCTTGCCAAAACTGACAAGTTTGGAATTGAACATGTGCATTATTGGCTGTGGAATGATGTGTGACTGGTTCCTTTCACCAAACCCAATATCTCTTTTTAGGCACACAGCCCTAGAAAGAGGCTGTACTTTGCGGGAGACATGGGTTTCATAGATCATGGAGAATATTTCATTAGGAGAATAATGGTCTATTTTTTTTTCCCTGAGGAATCCTTTGCGAACACTGCATAGGTTTGTAATGAATATAACCCTTTCAGACGATTCAGTGACATGCTGTATAATATCGTACTTGGTTAAGCGTTTTCTGTATATTTTTTTCTGACCTAGACTCATATTCATGTCAACTCGCCATGATGCAGTGCCATAATATTCAAATTTTTGGTGGCCAATTGCTTTTGATATTTGTATCTGTTTTTAAGGGAATCACAATGAATAAATGTGCCCAGCTCTAACTTTATGCAGAGTAAGCTGTGTGTAAATCAGTAAATCATTGATAGAAATGAATCATTTCCAAAGACTGAGGACTGCATTGCATTTCAGACTTTTATCTGTTTATATATTTCAGAAGTCACCAAAACAGAAACATTGCATATGATAACTTAGGTCCCCATCACAGACCGTTTACATAGTAGTATTGGTTTATGCCTGATCAAATGATCTTTTCAAACCAAGGCATTGTGCACAAACGTGCTCTGGGCTTGTTTTGCTTAATAAAAGTTGAATTTAAAGACTGGAAACAGCAAAGAACAGAGGAAGATGAGAAATTCCCATTTAACACCTTCCTCAGCAACTTCAACTCCAGAAGTGAGAGCCAGGTGGCAAAGTATTTCTTCTGTAAAACAACATGAAGGAGGTAAAAGCAAAGGAGAGCGCTGACCGTAAGTAAAGTGGATTGGAAGGGTTAAGAGATGTCCAAATCAGCACTAACTGCAAGAGCTGGACATGCATGTTTGTGTCCCTTTCTCCACCGAGGTGTGCTACTGAGGAGGCGTGCTGTCTGAAAGACCCTGTCAATATTTCAGTATGTTGAAAGTGTCTTTGCTTTTTTTAAAAATTATTTTCAGGTATTAGTATTATTATTTTTACACAGCTTTTCCAGAGCCATATCATCCAGCAATTCCCTGCAGGAGGGCATTGAAGTTTCCCAGCAAAAGCTAGTTCCTTCATACGCCTTACCAGGAATATTGGCATGCGGTCCATTCCCTCTTCAAGGAATAAACAACCCCATGGGCAATGTTCGATATGATTCATTCTCTATGGGACTGTGACAGCATCAAAACCTGCCTAATGCAGCTGGATCTGAAGCTGGTGGGAGGGCTGAAATAACGAGGCAAGCTCGGCATGTAGGAAAGCGGAGCCTGAACTGCTGTGCGCAGCAAGGGGATGCTGGCTGTGCAGCACAAGCTTTTCTCCTCTGACCGGGCCCCAGTAACAGGGATGCTCAAGGCTTGCTGTTGCGGGGGATGACCTGTGACAAGGGGCTGTGATGTGTCAGGACATCATGGCTGGAAGCCTGTCTCAAGGGCGCTGGAGGAATCCTTCCCCGTAAGTTTTCTGCTGGATGTAGAAACTGCCGGTTCCCCCTCCACTCCCCTCCCAGTTTAGGTTCAGCTCCTGTGTGTAATGCCAAAAGGATCTGCAACGCTTGACATTGCTGTGCCATCAGGTGTAGTAGGAGAATCCATGCACTGGAGCAGGATGGGCTCGGAGGAGGGGAATCCTTCCAGCCTCCAGTTTTCTTGGGGTTGAACAGCACCAGCTTTCTCTTCTGCAGTGGTACAGACTGCAAGGCTGTTCTGGAGTTACACTGCAGAAGGATGTATCTACTAACACCCTGTGCAGTGAGCACACGATGTCATGTCCTCACTTACTGGACAAATCCCATCTGACTCAGTGAATTCAAGTGTGTTGCAGGAGCTTTAACCCGGCCTGGGGTTAAGACTGCTTTCTCTTCTAAGGCAAAACCACAATGACATTGCTGCTTCTACCTCCAGGTCAACAAGTCTCCCACACAGAAGACACAAATCAGTTTGAGAAAAGAAGATGAGCTGGATTCTGTGAGCTTTGGGTCCAGGAGATACAGCAAGTGCCAAACAACAGAGTTACGGAAGAGGCTCTCACCCTGCAACTGCATGCTCTGGAAGCCACCCCTTTGGGAAAACATGGTCATGGTCGCCCCGACAATCTTCAACCAAGAAAGTCCTTTTTCATTGCTGTCTCTCTTTGAACAGGATTAGGCTCACTTCTTCAGAAGTCACCCAGTTCCAAGCACGTTGTGGGTATTCTTGGGAAGGGAAGCTGCTATTTTGTCTGCAGCATTT